TCTGGGTGGAGGATGCTCAGCCCTGATCCGAGCAGACTTGGAGATCTCAGCCCCGGGACCCGCATGCCTTTGTTCCTCTACTGGTACCTTCATGCGTGTGGAGACTGGTCTCAGCATGGTTGTGGCTGGTTCTGGAGGTCTTCGGCTGCCGGAGCTCTGCTCGGGGCGGGGTTGGTGAATGATTTGTAAATATTTTCTCCCGCTCAGTGGGGTGTCCTTTTATTTTAGATAGTTTGTTTTGCCTTGCAAAATTTTGCCTTTTAAATTTTGCCTTTTAAAATTTGATCTAGTCCCACTTACATAGTGTTTTATTATTTTACTGATAGAGTCAAATCAATGAAAACACCCCTGGGGCCTGTGTCCTAGTGATAAGTTATGCCTATATTGTCCTCAGTGTATTTTATGGATTCTGATCTAATCTTGAGCTCTTTAATCTACTTGGAATTGACTTTAGTACATGGTATGCGACATGTCTCCCACTCTGTTCTTTTTCCTCTTCCTTCTCCTCCTCCTCTTCCTTCTTCCCCTTCTCCCTTCTTCCTCTTTCTTCTGGCTTGGAGCTGTCCAGTTTCCCAGCATCCTCTGTTGAAGAGATGTCCCTGCCCCATGCACCTAACTTCTTTGTTTCAGATTAACTGTAAGTCTGAAGGTATAACTCTGGGCTCTCAGTTCTAGTTTATGATCTTGAGAGTATGTCAAAACTTTACAGCACTCTTTTGCTTACTATAGCTTTATAATATAATTAAAAATGAGTAAATGCCATCCCTGCCATTTTCTTTCTTTTTTTCTCTCAGAATGGTTTTGGCTATTCTGATCCCATACAAATTTTAGTCAAGTTTTAAATTTTTTGTTAATATTGACGAGCAGCAAAATTTACATTTTAGTTTGTATTGAAGTAGAATTGTGGTTTAAATGTGAGGGCCCAAAATTATTTTCAGGAAAATGTCGTCATTTTAGTGTCTTGTATTTTTCTTCACTTGCTTTTATGTCTATATTTGTTTCTTAAGGTGAGGAGGATCTTCTGTGCTAAATTAACCCAGCTATAGTATTAATGGAGGCAGTATCACAAACTCTCTTATGGACGAGCATCTGAGTTTAGTTCATTCTTCTGCTATTTTTTTTTTTTTTGCTTTTTGGGTCACACCTGGCGATGCACAGGGGTTACTCCTGGCTCTGCACTCAGGAGTTACTCCTGGCGGTGCTCAGGGGACCATATGGGATGCTGGGAATCGAACCCGGGTCGGCCGCGTGCAAGGCCAACGCCCTACCCGCTGTACTATCTCTCCTGCCCCTGCTACTTTTTTTTTTTTTATATAAATGGAGACTCTTCTGTTTCCCATTATAGCATTAGGTTTAAGGAAGAAAACATTAAAAATCAGCATGTATGTATGCCATGCTAAGATTATTATTAAGGGCACTCCTGTCCACTGTGCAACTAACCAGTGAGTGTTTTTTGCTGTTTTTGTCTTTTGGGCCTTTGGCCCACACCTGTTGGGGCTCGAGACATTCCGTCCTCTCTGGCCTGCACTTGAGACGCCTTCCAGAGGCCAGGGAGAGCAGAGTCCCCCACAGCGGTCCCTGATGGCTCCTCCCAGGGACCCCTGAAGAGACCCCGTGACTGACCCTGTCCCCTAGAATACCAGCCATGTCACATCGTCACATCTTAGCTGTTGGAGGAGAGGAGGCCTTTCTTCTCTTTCCACTGCTCTATTGCCCGTTTCTACCTTGCAAAGGAAATAAAATTTTGGCAGGTCACAGATCTTGCCTCTGAAGAAACTAACTGTATGCAGGATCTGACTCTCTCTCTCTCTCTCTCTCTCTCTCTCTCTCTCTCTCTCTCTCTCTCTCTCTCTCTCTCTCTGTGTAGGGACTAGGTTAAGAGAATGAAAACTGGTGAGTGTCCATTGTGCCAGCTATTATGCATTTTCAGTGACTGCAAGTCACACTTTCAGTTCTCCCCAGTTCTTCCTGGTAGCTGCCTGCATTTCTGCTGCCTAATTAATCCGTGATTTCAGTGGTGCAGGGGTGCAGCCTGGGCTGCTGCTGAACTGTGTGCCAGGCCATGTGGCCTGACCCTTCTGCATGCAGGCAGCCGTGCGTGGGGTCCCGCAGGCCACATCCAGTCGGGCGTGAGGAACCTTGTGGTCTGGCGCCCAGACAGGACCCGGAGGCTTTCTGGGCGGGTTTGCAGGGCTGAGAGTGGAGGGTGCCGCTTGCTCAGACTCGCCTCCCTCCAGCCCCTGACGGCCCAGCGCGGCTTCCCCAGTGCTGTCCCCGCTCTCCCTCGAAATAGGAAGTACAGTTAGTCCCTGCCCTCTTGGATCTTTGGAAGAAACCAGAGGAAGTTTTTGTTTAATTTAGCTCTCCTCCTTTTGATAAAACGTTTTTCACTGGATATCAACACTGTGAAATTTCAGGAGTATGGCTTTACACCTTTAAGTGTCCTTTTTCGCGGGAGGAGGCTCCCAAACAGTGCTCAGGGGGGCCAGTGGCCATTCCCGCTGACGCTCAGCCGACCAGGCATGGCATTCAATCCTGGGGCCAAAGCTATGCCCCTGCTGGGCCCTGCAGTGACGGGGCCCCTGGGGCGGACGTGGTGTAAGGGTCAAGCACGGTCTCCGTTGCGCGCAGAGCACGCGTCCCTGATTGCTGAGCTGAGTCCTCGGCCCAGAGACCTCCCAGTGCGCTAATGGCTCAGCGCGCTCACCAAGAAAGGAAGGCTCTGTGCCTCCCACCTCCCCCATTTCCTCCATGAACGATAGTTGTCACCAACCCTGGGAGTTAATTGTTTACTTTTCAACGTTTTTACTTTCACTCGCATTCCCTTCCGGCGAAACTGCCCAGTAGTGGTCTGTCACTTCCTGACTTAGCCATTCGGCGGGGTCACTTCCAGCACCACTCCCGTGGCAGTGGCAAGGCATGCCCTGCAGCGTGTGGCCTGGACTGCTTCCTCGAGTCACCTGCCGGCGGGTACTTGGGTGGCCCTCACGTTGGGGCTGTGGAGAGCTGCTACTTTGAGTGTGAGGACACACTGTCCTTGCAGCTCTCGTGTTCTAGGGGACGCGCCTCAGAGCACTGTTGACCTGTCATGGGGTTTTCCATTTTTAAAAAAATTTTATTAATTTTATTATTTTTTAAATTTTATTTATTTTTTAATGCATCAACTGTAGCACAGTCCTCCCGGTGTTCATCGATTTGCTCGAGCAGGCCCAGCAACGTCTCCACTGTGGGACTTGTTGTTACTGTGTTTGGCATATCGAATACGTCACGGGTAGCTTGCCAGGCTCTGCCGTGTGGGCGAGATACTCTCGGTAGCTTGCTGGGCTCTCCGAGAGGGGCGGGGGAATCGAACCTGTCAGGTTAATGCCGGTCTCAGAAATGGGAAGAATTTCTGTTTCTTCATTGCTGAAGGTGAAAGAGATTGAGGAAGACTGGAAGGGGGTCATCTCGGAGACCCGTCAGCATGCCAGGAAAACCATCTGAACCTGGACTTGGGCTTTTGGGAAAGCTTTTGATGATGATTTCAATTTTCTTACTTGTTAGTGCCCTTCTTGGGTTTTTCTGTTTTCTTCTGAGTCATTAGTGGGAAGGTGTGTGATTCTAAAAATGCAACCATTTCTTCTAGTTGGGAGGAAAATATAGCATGTTCCAAGAGGATTACTATAGCTGCTTTGGCGCCAGGTGGAAATCAGAAGACCAGTTACTAGGGGAGGTCAGCAAGGGGAGAAATGGCAAAGAAAACATTGTGTCAGTTCTTTCCTCCTTTGATTTCATTTCAATAGGGGTTTTCAGATGAACATTTTATAAAAAGAAAACCTGCTTAAAATGTGTAACATAGAATGCAAGCTTCCCCATCCAACCAGCAGGGAGAGATAATGTTATTAATAAATCATGCATAATTCATGTTGTATGTGTGTACATAATGCATCTATTTTATTGTGTTACTGGCAATCAAAAGAGAACCCCGGGGCTGGAGCGATAGCACAGCAGGTAGGGCGTTTGCCTTGCACACAGCCAACCTGGGTTCAATTCCCAGCATCCATATGGTCCCCTGAACACCGCCAGGGGTAATTCCTGAGTGCATGAGTCAGGAGTAACCCCTGTGCACCGCCGAGGGTGGCCCCCCCAAAAAAGAGTGCCCGACTTGATGTACTGTTTTAAGGATAACGTCTTAAAGGAAGGGCATATTGGAGCTTCCTTTGGATCAGATGTGGGACAAAGGTGAGTACAGGGCAAGGCTACCAGCTTGGTGTTTGGCAGGTGCTAAAGAAATTGGGGGACCTCTTGATGCTTAAGAGATCTGGGGTTCCACTGGCATTTCTTGGCCTACTGGACCAGTGGTTCAATACAGTGACCCAAAGATGCTGCATTGTATGGGCGCTGTGGTGTGGGGATCCCCAGGCTCCAGGCTCCCCCAGGCAGGCCTAGGAATGGGGTGGTACAGGTTGGGTGCGTGCCAGCAAGGCGCCCTAGCTGCCAACCATCTCCTGCACTTACCTTTGTCTGAGGAAAACCCTTTCATAAACTCCGTCCCACGCTCTTTTGTTTTCTTTCCTGTTCGGGTTTCATGGTGTGCGGCGAGGCCTGGCCCGGTTCCCCAGTACACCCTGATGGGGACGCGTGTTGCTCTGGGGACTTAGGCCTCTGGGGGCTGGAGCGATAGCACAGCAGGTCGGGTGTTTGCCTTGCATGTGATCGACCTGGGTTCGATCCCTGGCATCCCATATGGCCTCACCAGCACCACTGAGAGTAATTTCTGAGTGCAGAGCCAGGAGGAACCCCTGAGCACTACTGGGTGTGAGCTAAAAAGAAAAAAAAAGAGGAGGGGCAGGTGTGGCACTCATCTCAGGTCTCTAGGGGCCTGAGTGCTTCCAGGTCTGATCAGCTTCCTACGTATGGAAAAACACGACCCTTTCAGCCCCTGGATTCCTTCGGGAGACTCCATCAGCGCGTCCCCTTCCCCGCCCCGTGACTGAGTCCATCGTTTCTGTTTCCTTCAGGCAGTTAAACCCAAGGGCAGTGACAGAGAAGCAGAAGGTGCTTATGAATCAGGGCTCTGTGGGAGCCCCCTTGTGCCCCAGTCCCCCCAAAGCTACAGTGACAGTCCTGATGTCATCATAGAGGCCCAGTTTGATGACTGTGGCTCGGAAGACGGACACGGCCAGCCCCCGAGTGCCCTGCTGGATGGCGTCACGAAGCTCTCGGTGTGTGTCCCCGATGGAGGTGAGTCCCGGCGCGCCCGACCTTTCATTTGAGTAAACTGATGGTTTGAGGTACCGATTTTCTCTGCGCTGCAGAACTAACCACACAGCACCATTGATCTCGGCCGGCCGTTTTCTCGGGAAGGAAGGAATCTGACCGGCCTGCAGCCGCCAGTTAGGGGGAGGGGGCAGAAACGCCGTCCGTGGTCTGTGTGGTCAGTGGTTGCTGTCCGCATTTCCTGCAGGTTCCCGTGGGGCCGGTCTGGGGAATCCTCAGAGCAGCGATTTCCTTCTGCCCAGCTCAGGCCGCTCACAAGTTTGTTCGGTTCTCAGTCGTGGCAGTCGCTCACTGAGTTTAACAAGCAGATCATCTCTAGAAAGAGTTTTGATTCTACATCTTCCTAAATGCCAACTTCGTTTTCTTCTCTAAGCAAAACCTAAGCCAGTGGTTTCCAGCCTTTTGACACCTGTGCAAGCTTCTGCACCCAGGCCTGGGTGCTCCCGGCTGAGGAACACGGGGTCGGGGGCAGGGAGCATCGTCCTGGGGAATGCAGGGGAGCAGTGCAAACGGTCTCGACCTCTCCGAGCTTTCTGCTGGAGGGAGCCTTCTGGGAAAGACCGGCCTGGCCAGGTCTGCTGGAGGAGGAGCTTTCTCATCGGAAGACCTTCCTGGCTGCACCCTGTGCCAGGCTCGAAGAAAGGGCAGCAGAGCAGACACCCTGATCGGGCCGGGCGAGCCCTTGCCTGCGCGCCGAGAAAGCCCGGGCTTAGGAAGCCAGGCAGACGCTCTCCCGCCAGATCTTTCCCAAAGCACGGTCGCCGTTGCAGAACTCCCCAGCCCGGAAATTCTCTCTGGATCAGGGACTACGGCTTCCCCGCCCCCACCCCCACCCCAACACACGCCGGGTGTCCTGACCTGAAGCTGCGGGCACCCAGGTTCTTTAGTGGCCCGCTGAGGTGGCTAGTGGGCTCTGTCCGGCCCGTTGCCTGTGGCTGCTCCTCCTTGAAACTTGGTTCTTGGGACACTTCCTCTCCCTCCAGGCGGTTGTGTGCTCGGATTTTCTTCTGAGAAGTGTATCATGTGTGTCACTGCACTGATGTCAGGACTGAGGAGAAGAGAGGGGACAACGCAGGGCTCTGAGTGGTCATATCCTCCCATCACATGGCCCACAGGAGACCCCTCCTCGCCCAGCAGAGCCAGGCCGACCCCCGGACCTCTCAGGGACACCTCAGAGCTCTGGGGATTGGACGTGGCCGTGGCGCGTCTCCACACCCCCACTCCCTGCCTTCCCAGATTGAAGGGGGCCCGTGCCTTGATTCCTCATTAGCGGCTGGTCAAGGAAATACCACGGGATGGGAGAAGGCGTAATGACCTTTGTTCAGAACTGCCTTGGTGGGGCTGGAGTGATGGCACAACGGATAGGGAGTTTGCCTTCCACGCAGTTGGCCCGGGTTCGGTTCCCAGCATCCCCTGTGGTCCCCCGAGCACCGCCAGGAGCAATTCCTGAGTGCAGAGCCAGGAGGAACCCCTGAGCATCGCTGGGTGTGACCCAAAAAGCAAAGCAAAAAAAAAAAAAAGGACCTGCCTTGGTTGCCCTCAGTCATAACTGTGTCCCCACCCCCCACCCCATCGGTGGCTCCCGTCCGCCCCCCGAATCCGAATCTGTGCCCTTTCTGCAGCCTCCGTGCCCTACTGTTCCTTATTGTCGCCCCGCTAGCCCGGCTGCGGGAACAGCTGTCCTTCTTCCCACAGGATCTGGTACAAATTTCTCTTTCCTGCTGCTCTCTAAATCGAGTTTGTGAAGCCACATGGCTGTTTCTGATTTCTTGCCTTCTTGATATTTAGGAAAATTGCAATTTGCTCTTTTGAAAATCATGGTGTTTTCAGGATATTTCAACCAGCCTCCCTTTTCTGGATAATATAAAATCTGGTTGCAGTTAGGATTTTGCCCCATTTACGGTTTTGAAAATTGTTATTGAAACAAACCATAACATTAGGGCACTATAAATTTTCCCCTACGACTTCTAGAAAGGTCCATGGCTTTGAGTGTAATTGCAAATGGAGTATTAATCTTGCTTCACGCTTGTGCTCAAAGGAGTGTTTCTTATTTATTAGTTTAATTTTTTTTTTTAAACCCAAGTGATTTTGCTCTGTTGCATTTTCCTCCTTGCCCCGGAGGCCTGCCACCTCTGTCATCACTACTGGCTTTTCTGTAAATGACCAGATATCCGCAGATGTCTGCATCACGGTTAGAGGACGGTCTCCGGGGCACCTGGGAGCACTGCGGCCCGAGACCTGCACTCCCCCCCCGCCTTGGGCCTGCCCCCACTCCCCTGGCTGAGGGTTCGCTTCTTTCCTGCCAGTCTATAGCCTGCTTAGAAGCCGACTGTGTATGCAGAGATGGGAACACGCCAACCCCGCCCTCCCGGCTGGCTCATGGTGGGTGCCTGGTTCCCTCACTCCGGAGGGCGAGGATGACCGGGGCCCTGTGAGGCGGCTGCGCTGGGTCTTTCGTCACCCAGAGCGGGGCGGAGAGTGTTGGCCTCCTACGCCGGGCTCGTGGCCTAATCCAATCGCACATTTCCAACCTCTCTTCTGGTCCCGCTCAGCACCCGGTCTGGAGGCGAGCCTGTCCTGGGTTTGGACTGACCCTCTCGCTGTTCTCCCCCACTGCCTGGCCAACGTCGCTGTTTTCCGCAGAGAGCATCCACGAAATCCTTGTTTTTTCCTGCGTTTTGAACCGGGCTGTTCCTGCTCCTCTGGCGCACGCCCAGGTCACCTGGAACGCCCAGAAAGGGCCTTTCCCGGCCTCCCCATTCATCCCCGTCCAGGGCAGGCCCGCCCCTTCCGTGTGCTTGGATGAAAAGTCACTTTGATTTCTCTGGGGTTGAGAAAAGCCAGACCCAGGCGATTACTCTCCTGTGGTGCTTCAGGGTTGCTGAAGTCCTAAGGACCCTTTCTTCTGACTCTGGAACCCTTCTTTCTTGGAGCGAAGATTCTTTTTCTTTCTGCTGGTGTTTCCAGGTTCTGAGGTCAGATATTCCCTTTCCCCTTTGTTTCTTGGCTCTCGCCCACGTATAACGGTGATTAGGGTAACAAGTACACAGCCATATTTGCTTCAGAAATTAATGAAAAACTAAACATGCAGCAAGTTCCCAGGAACCACAGTTCTGTATCGGTATTTGAAACTTCCTCTAGGAAGTAAGACCTTGTCCTGACCTTCATTAACAGAAGGATTAGAGCGGGGATCTTTCTCTCATCTTTCGTTAGTTTCATTCTATTTTACTTTATTTATTCTAGGTTTTTGAGTCACACCTCACGGTGCTCAGGGTTCACTCTTGACTACGCTCAGGGATCATTTCTGGGGGTGTTTGGGGGACCCTGTGATGCTGGGATCAAACCCGGCTCAGTAACGTGCAGAGCAAGCGCCCTCCCCCCTGTGCGAACCCTCTGGCCTGTTCCCCCTCTGGGGGACAGTGTGTTCCCACAGAGACAGACGCTCAGAACTACAGTGTCCCGATGCTGGTGTCCTGCGCGGGACTGCCCGTGGCTCCCGGGAAGCTCCCAGAGACAGCGCCAGCGAGGAGTAGCAGTTCCTCCTTGCGGACACGGAGTCAGCTCCCGCTTCTCCCTGCAGAGTGCTCCTTGGGCTCGTGCCTGCCAGTTCCCCTGGCCCCGGCCTCGGTCGTGGCGAAGCTCTTCTTGCTGCCCTTCTGCATGGGTGCTGCTGTTCTGTCGGGGCGAGGGAAATCCCTCCTCTGCTTTCCATTTTCCGTATTACAGATACCTTTCCCCATTCTGCCATTTAGTCATTTGTCCATGGTGTCTTTCATGGAGCAAAATCCCTGAACTTTAATGTGACCAAATTACAGCTTGTACTCTCTGCATTTCATGTAGTCTTTGATTAATGTAACAGTTTGCCACATTTTGTTGCACTTGATGTTGCTGAGTTCTCTGAATCCATTTTCTGATGTTGCATCATCCTTGAACTCCAAGGGCAAATGCTATGTAATCTTGATGAATTGTTATTTTATCATCATCATCATCATCATCATCACCATGATGGTTGTTGTGGAAATCCGACCTGGGCCTTCCCTCGCACATGTTCTAGCACTGCGCTGCATCCCTGGTGGATGGGATTTTCTTGTTTGTGGTACCCGGAGTTGAACCAAAGGCCTCAACGTGTAGGGCATGTGCTCTACCACCAAGCCACATCCCAGCCCTTCCTGGAGTATCACTGTTTTTGTTTTAGGGGTCACAGCCAGCTGTGCTCAGGGCTTCCTCCTGGTTTTGCCCTCAGGAATCACTCCTGGCAGGCTCAGGGAAGCATATGGGGTGCCAGGGATCAGGGCTTGCATGCAGAGTCAGCTGTGGGCAAGGCCAGTGTCCTGCCCATTGCACTGTCCCTCTGTCCCTGTGGGTAACTATTTTTAAAGGGCGCCACAGGACTTGAGACTATCTATAGCTTGGAGCTAGAGAGCCTGGGTCAGGTGTGTGAGGCCCTAAGTTCCATCTCTGTCACCTTGCTAAAAAGAAAAATACTATATATATATATATACACACACATAAATATAGATATGTATATTGCTGGATTTACTTTGATAATAGTCTAGATTTTGGTCTTGTGTTAAATGTGCCTTTCATTTTCTTGTCATTATCTAAATTTGGTGGAAGACTGCATCCCAGGCAGTGTTAGGGACCAGGCCCTGTGTCCACTGGCGGTGGCACTGAGCAAGCGGTGCTTGGGGTCCGGCAGGTGTCTCCCGGGGCTCTTGCAGGTTTGTGTGCCGAGGGTCACACCCCTTGACGCCGGCCTGGGCCCCTTAGCAGGTTTTTAGAATCAGGATTATATTTCCTCCATTAAATGTCCTGTCCGGTTTTGACTGTTTCTTATTTTTTCAGGACAGTGTGTATAAAACAGGAATTATTCGTTCCTTAAAATTTGGTAGAACTCATTGTAAAATTGTCTGCACCTGCTGTTTTCCACAAGTGGCCACCTCTGCCCACGCCACCTCTCCACA